AACCGTACAATGGCCGAAACGTCGTGGATAGGGCAATAAATATGAGGACAACAGACCGAACAATGTAAATGATGTAAATAGTTACAATACCTCATCCCAGAAATAGAGACCGAAATTTGAAGCAATTCCACTTTTGACGTCTGAGTAGCTTCTTCTATGTGCCGTGTCCCTTTTGGTCGTTGGCGATCAACAGGCTATACAATTTCCTGTCTTAAATTTTGTATTTTTGTTATCTCTCTTAAACCGTCTTCCACCGTCCATTTACCCAAGCTAGGTTATGCATTGTTTTTCTCTGTCCTTCTTACTTTCACTCTGTCCCGCGTGTATCAAATCTTCTAAGTCTTTTTTTCTCATATCCTCTAATAAATTCAATTGCCTCTTTCTGATGTTAAGCATAAGTGTCCATTTTGTTTCCATTTTCTCTAAAACTTTGTTGTTGCTCGGATTCAAGTTTCTTTTTCACCTGTGATGAGATTGTCCAGCACTCACTGCCACATAGGAGGATTGATATTACATAACGGTACTCTTTCCTTTGTTTCTAACGATTTTTTTCAGTTTCATAATACATTGCTTAGGTTTTAGAAGGCATCTTTCTCTATCCCAATGCGACTTCGGGTACTAGTTTCACCTTTTCTATCCTCTGTTTAATCTCTTCACAGATATTTACATTGTTGTAATCGTTTGATTTTTTTATCGCCAATTTGTAATTTGCATGTTGATTAGTTCTTGTTGCCGAAAAAATTGGATACTGCCTTCTTGCAATTTATGTTTAATCCTTTCTTCTTGCTTTCTTTCACTAATTTCTATGGAAATTCTTGGAGTTAATTTCCTGTATCTACACTCAACACTGTCTCATCTGCATATCTTATTTTTTTAAAACTGTGGCGACCAAAAAGAAAAAAAAAATCCTATCGGGAGTTCTAATTCTCGTCTCAGTGTCGAGGTTGAATAAGTCAAGAAAAGGCAAGATTAGAAAAAAAAAAAAAAATAAAATTAGACGAAAATCCTAGCTAAATATCTTATTTTCTTCAACATTCAAGAAATTTACCAATTCTACTGGCTCCTTCAGAACTACCTCCCACATATACTTCCCATAAATACCTCCAAATAATGGTAAGACATTAGCTCGATAAAGACACCATTGCCAGTAATGAATTATCATTAATCTTAGGTATTTCTGGGATGTATATGTGGGAGGTATTTCTGCCTCACCCTGCATTTCGTTTCTTCTTCCTACTCATATATGATTGCATCAATTACAATATTTTCCTCTGACGAAGTCTTTTCGAAAGTCGAAACACAAGATTTCTTTTTTTTGATTTTCTCATTGAATTATATACAATTCGTCTGATACAGAGAGTTTGGATATCATATTTCCTGATGCCTATATTTATATATGATATATCTATACATCTATTATTCATTGTATTTACATTTTAAATATTATATTCTTATATACATGTATATAAATTAGTTTAATTAAAGATCAATTTAGACAGGTGATATTGAAATTTCGACATACAAATTTTTGGAATAAGCAAGTCGTTTATAATGGATTGTTCTCAAATTTGAGTAAAACTTAAGCGACTCCGCTGTTGACGTCACTATGGATTAAGAATTGTTTTTTTAAAAAAATGGAGATAAAAACATAAGATTAAACAAAAAGGTTTATTAAATCCGTTATTTTCTACAATAATAAAAGATTCTGTCAATTCAACTAGTTACATTGATATGTCTTTGTTTCGTATTTATTAGACAAAAGTACAGCTGAACTGGTTAGGTGTAGGCCTAAGTTCTATGGTAACAGTTTTTTTTCTCGCACTTCTTGCTTGTGGAACACACTTCCGACTCTAGACTAATTAAATCTGCAAAAATGTAAATACAATATCAGTTTTTATCTACTGTCCTCCTGATTACTCTTTTCTATTTCCGCTTATTATTACTGTTTCTGTTCCTGATTCTTCCACACTCTGTAGCCCATTGTATCTTAGTGGCTTTGCCGCCTTGCCTTGATACCGATAAAAAATAAATGATAAAAAATTAAGCAATCATTTCAAGAGTATAAGTACCAAAGTGTTAATTATTAAAACTAGTATCACTAAGCCATTATTCAAACCCTCTTTACCAAAATACGTCAATGAAACCTAATCTCATACAAATTGATTTTTTTACAAAGAGTATATATTCTATTCACACCAATTTATTCTAAAACTCTTGTCAGCATTAAATAACCCATTGAGGTGTTGATATGCCGTAAAACAAAATAAACCCAAAACCAAATTCCTCAAACCGTCTCCCATTGACCTCATGCTGTACTATATATATTTATGTACACGTCAACCTGGGACAATAGTGAGAAAATTAGTGACTAATACAATTGCTGTTGTAGTGAGTTCGTTCCTCACGGAATGTAATTGTGATTGACTCAGTTTTATTACTTTTTGTAAGTAGGTTCACACTGTAGAGGCCCGAGAGACACTCGAGGCTTACAAAGTTAAAA